TTTTTTTTTTACTGAGACTCTCTTACCTTCATACAAAGGTACTTCTAGCACTTTTAGTATTTTTGGAGGTCTTTGTATGATTACTATAAAAATAAGCACTTTTAGGCCCTGCCTGATAGCTCAGCGGACTAAAGCACCTGCTTAGGCAAAGTACAGTGGCCAAGGTTCGGGGGTTCAATGCCCAGTGTGCTGTGCTGGCCCTGGGGTACGCTAAAATGGCCATTGAGACTGGGCGTGGTAGTATATGCCTATAATCCCAGCACTTGGGAGGTTGAAAATAGGAGAATCACTATGAAGTAATGAGACCCTGTAGACTCTGTCCTAAATACAGAAAGAAAAAAAAAAAAAAAGTACTTCGGCATGAATATGTATTAAAAGATACTGCAGAACGTGCAGTGAGTTTGAAATTGAGATTCCATCTCCCTGGCTGTTTCTACTTGCAGTGTCTCATGACCTCTCCCAGAAATACTGTGTGTGCACATAAATGTGGTGTGTATGCATTTTAACCCTAGACCACTGGGGCTGGGGGTATAGCTCGGTGGAACAAGCACTTGTCTGGGAAGCCCAAGGTCCCAAGTTCAATCCCCAGTACCACAGAAGAAAAAAGAAAAAGAAAAAAGTTAACCCTAGACAATGAATGTCATAGAGGTCAGGCGTATGTAAACATCTCCTCCGCCTGGGTCATAAAGCCTGCTGACCCTCCACAGCCCGTCGTTGATTCCCCTGGGCTCCACTTGCCCACAGCCTTCTCCACACAGCTCCCGTAGGTGCTCTGCTGTCCTCAGGGCAGGTGACCGAGGGCAGACATCAGGGGCTGGAAGGGAGCCGGGTGTAGATGTAGCTGGAGCTCCCCGTGGACGGAGTGGATTTGATGTCCACTCAGGTTGGTTTTGGCCACAGCACGTATTGTAACCAAGCCCCAAGTCAATGAGGAAGCAATAGATGTCTGAGAGAAACTTCTGATATAAAAAATAGGGCAAAACAAAGCAGTAACTGTAACAGAGGTAGGACATCCAAAGAAAGAAAAAGGGT